AGACATGCCGACGGGAACAGCCTTTCTTGGTTTTGACTTTAAGCAGACTCTGCTCATGCCCTGACAGATTTCCCCTTTCTCCCTTTCAGGAGTTCCACTTCAGAAACCTAAGTTAATCGCCCAGATAGAGGAAAGGGGAGAACCATGTTTCGAAGATGAAAGCTCAGGTACCATAACAGAAGATTCTTCAAAAGGTCAGCTCAAGGGAGGGGATGAAATGGAGAGTTCAGCTGTGATTCACCCAGGCCCATAGCTACCGTGGGGCCCACGGGGCCTGGCCCCCTAGTGGTTTTTATGGGCCCCTCCCTGAGCTATGGACCCCCCAAGCCATGGACATCAGGCTGCCCCTTGTGCCGTGCCGTGGGAAGAGGAACTGGGGCTCCTTAGGGGGGAGCCAGACTCTGCAGGGAAGGCCTGCCCTTGCTGAGTGGGGATGGAGGGAAACTACGGCCGCTGGGCATTACCCCCCCTTGCCCTGGAGCCTGGGGGGTACAGGGCTGCCTTAGGAGTTCTAAGGAGTCCCACCAATTAAATCAAAGCTAATTTAATTAACTTTATTTAAATTGGCCATTGGGCCCCCCCAAGGCCCCTTCCCCCCAAAATCCCTGGCTACGGGACTGGATTCACCTGATTTGAACGGGAACTCAGCCTTTGATGTTGCTGGGAAAGACACAGGGCCTCTCTCACCGGAAAGGGATAATCGTGTCAACCAGCCAATTCACTTTGTTTATCCATTTTGCAAAGCAGGTGGTGTGTATGTGTGTTAAGTGCCACTAAGTCGCTTCCAACAGGGCTACCCTATGAATGAATGACCTCCAAAATGTCCTATCATTAACAGCCGTGTACAGCCAAGAGCCGTTTTGGTGTAGTGGTTAAGTGTGCAGACTCTAATCTGGGAGAACCGGATTTGATTCCCCACTCCTGGATGACCTCGGGCAAGCCATAGTTCTGATAAGAGCTGTCCTTGAAAAAGAGCAGTTTCTGTCAGAGCTCTCTCAGGCCCACCTACCTCACAGGGTGTCTGTTGTGGGGAGGGGAAGGGAAAGGAGTTTGTAGGCCGCTCTGAGACTCCGAGTGAAGGGTGGGGTACAAATCCAGGGCTTTTTTTGTAGAAAGCTCGTTAGCATAATAGGCCACACCCAACAGCAGACACTCAATAGCATATTAGGCCACAACCTTGACAGCACCGCAAATTAGCATATTAGGCCACACCCCCGTGTTACCAGAAGTGTGGTCATCCAGCCACACCCACCTTTTGCTTCTTATTCTGTTTACCTTGTTTGTTGTCCAAACCCAGGGCCTTTTTTTTGTAGCAGGGACTCCTTTGCATGTTAGGCCACACACCCCTAATGTAGCCAATCCTAATGCGTTTCTGCTGTTGGGTGTGGCCTGTTATGCTAATGAGTTCCTGCTGGGTGTGGCCAACTCAGGAGCCAGCCGGAACTCCGTTCCTGTGCGTTCCTGCCCCAAAATAGCCCTGTATAAATCCAGTCTCTTCTCTCTTCTCCTTCTTCTCCTTCTTCTCCTTCTCCTTCTGTTCTTGCGAACTGAGGGCCCTTGTGGCTTCCTTGACTGAGCCTCTCCACCCCAGGCTGGGTGTTCCTCTTTATGGCTGCCTTCCACTTTTCCTAGCATGATAGTCTTTTCCAGTGAGCCTTCTTATGATGTGACCAAAGTTCAATAGCCTCAGTTTGGTCATTTTAGTTTCTAGGGAGAGTTCAGGCTTGATTTGATCTAGGATGGGTTGGGGGGGGCAGCGCGTAAAACACGAGGCTGAGATGTAGACGTTTGTTGTCATTTTTGTCATTGAGTCACAGCTGATTTATGGCAACCCCGTAGGATTTTCAAGGCAAGAGGCGTTGAGAGGTAGTTTGCCATTGCCTTCCTCTGCATAGTGTCCCCGGTATTCCTTCATGGTCTCCCATCCAAATACTAGCCAAGGCCGACCCTGCTTAGTGTCCAAGATCTGACAAGATTGGACTAGCTTGGGCTATCCGGGTCAGGTAGATGTAGAAGTAGGGGACGTGAATTGCACACAGGGAGAACCAGGGGTCATTTCCTGCAGGAGCGCACAGGAG